GGTACACGAGTCATTCATGAGAAATAAAATTACAACTTTTAGACCTTTCAAAAATAATTTTAAAAATAATTTTGCAGTCTTTTTTAATCTATTCATGTAACAATACATCTATAATGCAATATATATGGAATATTTTGTTACAGTTTGCTCTATTTTTTAATCATTTTTAATTTTATTTTTATTATATAATTTACTTAATAACTTTAATTAAAACTACTATTATCAATTTTTAAATAGTTTTCTACTAATAACTTTCACATGTTATATTTTCACTAATACACGATAAAAAAAGCAGAGACCGATATAATCCGTCTGGACATATATATTAATACAAATACAAAATCACTTGATTTTCTACATATTGAGGACAATTTGCTCCTTAATTATTTTTTAATTATGAAATTTTATCTTCTTATTATATTTTTAATATTTTTTTAGTTTAATGTTGTATTTGTATTAATACAACATACAAATACTTAAGTTTGTACATAATTCAAATATAAAATTAACACAAGCATATCACACATTATTCAAAAAGTTTCTTAATCCAATGTTTCTTCAATAAAATCAGCAACCTCTAGACATGTAGTATCATTTTCGGGTTCAATTTCAATTTAAATTTACTTCCTTCCCTTTTCTCTCTATAGATGTCTTGTTTCTTTTACACAAATGTTCTGATGTTCTACACGTCTTAGACCAATGACCTTTCTTTCCGCATCTATAGCACAAATTATCATGATTCCTCGAGGGACCCTCTTGGATATAAGTACCTCTACTTTGACGATACCGGTTAGTTTGGTCATATCTGAGAAATCTATAATTATTCAGATAACTTCGTCCACGACCTCGATCGCAAAAGTGGTTTCGACCGTGATATCTTATCGACTAGGACCCTCAAAACGAGCATAACCTCCATGTATTTTATTACGGTTATAGCCACCACGTCTTTGATTAAATGTTGTGGCATTTATCACATGATATGCTATTGTTTCTTTGGAACATGACTGGTGATTTTTGATAAGGAGCTCATGATTTTGTTCTGCTACTAGAAGAGCTGCAACTAAATCAGAATACTCAGAAAATTCTCTCATTCTGTATTGTTGTTACAACAAAACTTGGGATGCATGAAAAGTTGAAATTTTTTTTTCCAATTTTTCTTATTCAGTTATAACTATGCCACAAAATTCGAATTGTGCTATAATTTGGTGCATGACAGTGTTATATGCAACAACGCTTTTATAATCTTGGAACCTTAATTTGTTCCACTGATCCATTAATGAGGGTAACAAAACTTTCATCTGATGTCCAAATATTGTCTTAAATTTGTCCCACAAAATCTTGGAATCTTTTGCATTTGAATATTCTGTTTGTAAATAATCGTCGAGGTGGTGTTTGATTTTTCGATTTAATTTTAATTTTTTCATTGTCATCTATTCTAGGTCAACAACTGACTTTTCTAAAATTTCTCCTTCAAAAATTTTATCAAGTCCCTCACATGCAAGATACTCTATTAAGTTATTCCATGTTATGTAGTTGTCCCAGTTATGTTTAAAATTTCGAAGTAATGCTTAACATTTGACATGATTATAGAATTTAAAAGAACATAATCAAAATTTAATACATAAACAAAAAAATGTAGGTCAATTTATTCAATAACAACGATTACAAAAATCATGATCATGTTTTATTTAAAAACCTTTATTAATAAACCAAGGTAAGACTAGTAATGGTAAAACAATCAATATCATTAACCCTACATAATCTTTACCTAGATCTTCATGCTTGATAATACCGATGAGAAATAAAATAATGACAAGTAGAGTGATGAACAAAAGAAAACATTTAGCCATTTGAAAGATATGGATGAGTTTTTTTTAAAATATGAAATTTGTGAAAGAAGTTGAATTATATAGATAAATTTGTAAAGTGGTCGTTATAGTTATCGTTAGGGAAAAGAAAAGAAAAAGAAAAAAGAGAAGAAAAAAATATCATCAAATCAAATTTAAAGTGTATTAAATATCAACTAGCTATTACAAGGGTTTAGAGATAATTATAAGATAACCTATGGGATTTTAGACCTCCACTAAATATGAAATTAGTAAATGCAGATGGAGTTTTAGATCTCCATTGAATATAAAAATTAGTAATAAAATATAAAAGTTAGCAACTACATATGGGGCTTTAAACCTCAATTAAATATAAAAGTTACTAACTGAATATAAAAGTTAGTAACAGAATATAAAAGTTAGTAATTGCATATGAGCTTTAAACCTCTATTAAATATAAAAGTTAGTAACTGAATATAAAAGTTAGTATCAGAATAGTTAGTAACTGCATATTGGGTTTAAATCTCCATTAAATATAAAAGTTAGTATCAGAATATAAAAATTAGGAACTGAATATAAAAGTTAATAACTACATATGAGACTTTAAACCTCTATTAAATATAAAAGTTAGGAATTGCATACGGAGTTTTAAACCTTCACACAAAATATATAAAAGTTACACTTATTATAGAGCACTTGACAAGTTGTCAGTTTTCTATAACAAGGAATAAAGTAAAAAAAATAACGATCAAAGTCATTCTAATTATAAATAACTTGATGAATTGTCAGTTTTCTATAATCATGATAAATAATAAAAATTATAGCAATAATGAGATTAAAGTGATAAGTTTAGAAGATATACCTAGTGTAGTAATAACTTCCGATAAAAACGGTCGTGCTGATAACGTGTTAAAAAAAACCGATTTTAAATATTTGTTAATATTTATGAACTAATATAAGTTACTAAACTAGTTGCAACTATTAAACTTAGATGGAAAGATTGAAGAAGGGAGAATGTTTTTTGTGCTTTCAAACTAAAATTTTAGTGTATTTTTATATTAATCAAAGATGGTATTTATACTACTAAAAATATAACTATTACACTAATATTATAATTTAACTTACTATTTAAACTTTGACAAATTATATATCTATAATAATTTATCATTACTATTTAGATAAATATTTTTCAATAATAATAATAATAATAATAATATAACAAAAACACTAATTTAGTATAATCTGTGCAAAAAATAGACCGACAGTCTATATCAACATTACAAAAACGAAAACTAAAACTTAAAAATGAGAAGAAAAAAAATGTTATGATAAACCTGCAGTCACTTTAATGATCAAAATCTCACTTTGTTCACTTTCTAGCTACTAAAATGGACTTTATGACATAACGTCTAAAATACAATGGTAAAATAATGTATTAACAATTACAACTTAAAATTCTAAAACAATATAGTGACAGAAAAATAAAGAGAAAATCCCCCAAAAAAAAAAAATACAATCAACAAAAACAAACTGAAGAGAAGGAAACAATTTAAGGTTATTTTGAATCTAATGTTCCTGCTCTTATATCGTACCAGAGAACATAGAAAGAGGGAAATAGCTTGGAATTTTCATATTCACACAAAAGAAAGAATAACTCATTCACTCAATCCTTTTTCTCTTTAGTTTTTTCCCTTTATGTTTGTCTCTTAATCAGTAGAAACTAACTTGTTCGACTTATTCTTGTAAGGACTAAAAAAATACTTCATTTTATTTGTATGCATCGATATTTTATATACATCTCCAAACAATTTCTACTATTTAAATATTTGTATGGATGACATTTTCTAATTAGAAGCTAACACTGCAACCTATCTATATACATCACCAAAATATAAGAGCAGCTCAGCTAATGAAGATCCCACCACCGTGCACTCTGCGGTTGTCAGGTATAAGCAGTGAGCAGACAAGTTATTTCCACAACTCTGACCTGTAAAAACCAAGTCTTCCGGCAGTTGTCACGCGTAAGCAGTGAGCAACGAAATTATTTCCACAATTCTGACCTGTAACTACCAAGTCTGCCAGCGGTTGTCAGGTGTAAGCAGTGAGCAGAGAAGTTATTTCCGCGACTCGGACCCGTAACCACCAAGTCTGCCAGCAGATATCATTCGTTGAAATGAATAGGAAAATTTTGAACAAAGGATGATTTCCCGAATGCCAGATGTCAAAAAGCTGATTCCTCAGCTGCCAAGCTCTTCACAGTGAAAAATAAGAAGATTATTTATCTCTGAAAGAACTTCAAAAATAGACAATAAATATAACAAACGAAGATGACTTTCACTTCAAAACTATATGAGTTTCAGAACTGCGGATATATTTGGCTTATGTGGAAAACTTTGCAATTTTAAACCGACAGATATATTTGGCTGATGTGATAGCACAGATGATTGGTTACGTGAGTCCTACTCCTACATGATATACGAATCTGTACAGACTTAATATCATACAATTTCTAATTTAACAAACAGGGTAAACAAGAAAAACAGAAAGCATAAACCAAGAATAATGCATTTGAATAACTGAAAATAAACATGCCACGCAAATGTCTGCCCAAAAATCAATCATTGAAATCAGCACACAGATTGTGTTTCCAAACGATTGGAGCTAAAATGATGAAGCAGCTTACTCCATAACAGTTAATTATATCAACCTCAATTACATGGTTCTTTCAAACACGTATGTAACACCTCAAAAAATTTTAAATTTGCAAATAACAGAAACATTATGGAGTTGGTAACTTTGCTCCAAAAGACATCAAGGCTAAAACTTTGATTTTATATACCTTGACATTAATTAGCACGTTGCATGCCACAATCATACCCCGGCATGATGTAATGATGGGTGGTCAAAATACACGGGATTTGGACATCAATTGAATATGAAGAGCGTCTTTCCAAGATTTCTTCAGAATCTCCTGTTTCTGCTTCCATTACTGATGTTATTACCTAAACACCAACAGAAAATACCATAGTTCTTCAATAAAGTTTACAAATACAAGAAATGCATCAGAGAAAACTAGTTATTAAAAGAGATGAGCCTCTCACCAGCTTGACCATGTCTTCCGTCCAAACATGTATTCAGTTTCCCTCAGTTATATTCAACATGCACAACAGAAACCTAACTTATATCGGTCACCTCTTCATGAAGCCAGCGGATATCCTGTAATGTCGATAAAAAACAAAAAAAACAAAAATTAAAGGTCAGAATAAATATGCAAAATGATAAATCAAAGGTCTGGTACAGCTACAGGGCAGTTTTGTTTGAAATACTAAACAGGATAAAAACACATTTCAACCACCAAGTGTGCAGAGGAAGTTCTTAATGTAAACAAAACTTAAGCTTAAAGTAGCTGAGTAAAATGTCATGGAAAAACCATATCAAAAAGTTCATTTGCACACTCGGTGGTGAATGAAATGTTAACATACAGTTTTTTGCAACATCATATCAAAATGAACTTTTTAAATTAGCAAGAAAAGTTTAACGAAATGTTAACAAAACTTTTTGATATGATGTTGTTTTGTACTTCATAAAGTTATGGAGGGCAAATGTGAGACAAACCATTTGGCATATGCTGTCTGATAACTGTAGTGCTTCTTGCCACTTATCAACCTTGATAAGGCCTTTGATGAGGTGGACCAGTGTGCTAAGATCTGGAATGACATTCTTACTTATCATGCTAGCATACAGCTCTAAGGCTTTATCAACATTACTTGCACGTGACAGATTCTCGATTAAAGAAGTATATAGATATTTATTGGCAACTGCAAGGCTTGGGGATGATGAAATCTCTTCAAGAAGAGTAACTGCGAGTTCTAGTCTCCCTGCCTTGATGTAATTATCAATCAAAATTCTGTAAAAAGAATCAATAGGCACTGATTCATTCTCACTCAACTCGTCTAAAAGCCCGATCGAGGTTATAAATTCTTGGTTGAAGCCCTCAATAATTTTACGGTGACTTAATATATGCTTTGGCCAATATGTTTGTTTCATTTCATCCAAGAGTTTGTATGCTTCATCAAGAAGGCCCTTTGAGCAACAATGATTTATCAAAACCCTATAGGTTATAAAGTTTGGAGCACAGCCCTTTGAGCACATATCTCTATAGAGCTCAAGGCACTGTTCAATTTTTCCTAATTTCCCAAAGCCATCAATCATTGCAGTATAGGTTACAACATTTGGATTGCAGCCCTTTTCTTCCATCTTGAGCATGAGTTTGTAAGCTTCATCTGTTTTCCCAACTTTACAGAGGCCATCAACCATCTCTGTGTAAATAACAACATTTGGAGTGCAAGAATTCTCTAGCATCTTCGACAACACTTTCAAAACAAGATCCAACCGGTTATCTTTAAAAAGACAATCGATTAAAGAGCTATAGGTATACAAATTTGGACTGTATCCACGCTCTGACATTTTTGCAAATACCTCTTGTGCATCCTGAAGCTTTCCAATCTTGCAAAACCCGTCAATAACAGCATCGTACACTATATGGTTAGGCTCACAACCATGAGCTGACATGGTATCCAACAATTCCCGTGCCTCCTTAACCTTGTTGGCTTTGCATAAACCATCCACCAAAGCCCCATATGTAATAACATTTGGTCCTTCAGAGTTGTTGTCATCTAGCTTAAAATACTTGTCCATATCAGAAGATTCTATGTCACCTCGCATTCTGGCATAGATCTGGCAAGCTTTTTCAATCTGCCCTGCCTTACAATGACCATCAATTAAAGCTGTATATGTAACAACATTAGGCTTGCAACCTTCAAGCAACATCATATCAAAAAGCTCATTTGCATCAGACACTTTTCTTGCTTTCAGGTATGCATGAATAAGTGCAGTATAAGTCACCACATTGGGTGAGCAACCTTCGCTTAACATTTCATTAAACCATTTGCGAGCCTGCTGAATAAGACCCGCTTTGCAAAAACTATCAATTAAAATAGTATAGGTATAAACGCTGGGAACAATGCCGTTCATTTTCATTTCTTCAAACAACGAAAAAGCCTTCTCTACCTTAGAAGCATCACAAAGGAAGCCAATCACTTTAGAGTAAGTACTATCATCGGGGACGAAACCCTTGCCCATCATTTCACAAATTATCTTAAAAGCTTTATCAAATTTCCCAGCTCCACAAAGACAGCGTGCAAAATTGCTGACATTGACCTTATTTAATACAACCCCTGAATCAAGCATCTCACTATAAGCTTTCTCCACTAACTCTAAAATATCCGAGCTAGGCTGTTCCTCATTGCTACACACACTACCAATAAATATATTATAAACCAGATATCCTGGCTGGCACCCACATTTGATCATTTTCTTAAACAACTTATAGGCATAGGAGTAATCCCTTGATTTACAATAAGCATGTACAAGAGAATTAAATATTTCACGATTCGGATAACATCCCTCCGTAATCATCATACTCAAAAATCTCTTACACCTCCCGAGCTGTCCTTTTCTCAAACAACCAGAAAGCAAAATCCTATAAGTGACAACATTGGGAATGCAAGAAGTAGATCGCATTCTATGCAAGATACCCATCGCTTCTTCAAAAAGTGAAGCTTCACACAACCCAGAAATCATCCTATTATAAATAACAGTATCAGGCTCAATCTCCTCAATCAAATCCAAAGCCTCTCTGCATTTCCCACTTTTACACAGGGAATAAGCAAAACAACTAATAGTATACCTATCCATAACAAATCCATAATTCAACATCTCTCTCATAACCAAATAAGCAGTATCTAACTTATCAGCTCTAAGAAAAACTTGAACCAAAGCATTATAAGTAGTTTGAGAAGGCTTGTACCCAAAATCCTTAAGTCTTCCCATCTCTTCCAAAGCCATATTCCACCACCCATTTCGACAACACTTTCGAACAAGAAAATTAAGCAACCTACGAAGCAAATCCCTATCATCGTCTCTAATTTCATTCAAAAACTTCAAAGGCACTCTATCATTTCCATTACCACTACACCCCAATAACTCAAGCAATTTATCAAACACAAGCGGGGTATGAGTATAACCAATTTGCCGACCGGCCCACAAGAAAAACTTTACACACAACTCAGGGTTGTTGACATTATCCATCACCTGCAGTACCAAAGACTCACTTAACCTACCACGAAACTGTCTAAAAAATTGATTGGTTTCAATGTCGAAACCGGTTCTGATTGCGTTTGAAATTGAAATAATGTCGTTAGCGAACTCACCGGGAGGGAGGGTTTGTGTGGAAGTGGAACTGAGCAAAGTGTTGCGGAGGAACGCGTAGTCTTGTGATAAATCAGAGGTTGGGGTTGGGGTTGAAAAAGTGGCGTCGTTGGGATGAAGCAAACCGGGGAGAGTGTGTTGTGAAGAAGTGGAATATTGAAGAGAGCGAGAGAGTAGATATTTCAACTCTCTGTTCCTCCTCATAGTCTTGGAAAATCAATCGAATTCAAAACTGTTTTGATTTAGGGTTTAACAAAAAAAGTTCGGAACAAAAAAAACCCTGAATGCTGGAGAAAAAGACTCCGCACTTCTTCTTTTTGGTAGCATTCAAAAATAAATAAATGAAGGGTAATTAGGACACAATTTAAACAACATATTTATGAACAGTTTGTATTGGAAAATATTAATAAAAATTAAATTTTTATTTTTATTAAAAGCAGTGTATAATTTTTAAAATATTATTTATATATTTAATGTTTAACTTGGGCTCTTAAAACACAAATTAACATCATTATATGTTCATTTATTTTAACTTTAAAATAAATTAATAATTACATTAAAAAAATTATTTTTATTCAAGTGAGAAAAAAAATTATTTAAAAAATAATATCTTTGTAGTATTATAGAGAGTAATAAATCTTACATAAGATTTTATATAAAGAGTAATAATTCTTACATAGGACTCTACAAAAGGCAGATATATCACATCATTAAAAACTTCATGTTTTGTTAGATAGTTAGAAAATATGAAATATTTAAACTCGTTATTCTCAAGTGAGAAATTTTTTAATGTTGTGTAGAATTGTAGTATAGTGATGTCAGATATTAATCGATTCTAAAATAAATTTGATAGTAGAGTTTGAGTCAAAATAACACATAAGTCTTTAATGTCAAGTCCACATGTCTTACACAAACTATAATATATCGACATCAATTTATATAAAAGATGTTGAAATAACCAATGTTATCCGCAAAACTGTAAACTTAAGCACCATCAACATTTCGTATCAATCCACCAAAATTCGAAACATCAAGAATACCGAGACTATTGTTATCCATATCAAGAATCATATTATTATTTATTCCATTGCACAATTAGAAATGGAGTAAATCACAGAAGTTAGAATAAAACAAAATTTAATCGACAATTTCACAATACAACATTGTAGATCAAATATTACAATCACAGTACTCTTTAAATTGAAAATATTAATCTTAAATTGCCATTATTAATTAGTGTCAATCTTAAATCTATTATTAAATATTTTAAGCTATTTTTTTATATAGAAGCATATATTTGTTTTTTAAATCTATAACAAACAAAGTTTTAGCAACTCCACATAATTTTTTTTTGTATATTTTGAATAAATGTTAGAACAACTTGTCTATCTTTCGTTCTTTACACTTATTTTATATAAAAATTGTGTCTGACTAGCTTTTAACAAAATGTTATTACTAAATATTTTAAGATATTCAATATAGCCTAATTTATTATTTTTATAGAAGAGTATATATTTCTAAAAATATATACAATTTCATTTTTAATGATACGTTAAAAAACAAAAAGTATATTATTGTTTGTATAAAAAATTATATTATAAAAATTAACACAGAATCTCTGAAATATTATTGTATTTATACTGTGAATAATATTTATTTTAAATAAAAAAAATTATTTATGAATATTATTGTAAATAATAAAAACAATGTTTTTGAGTAAGGAAATTAAATTGATTAATAAAATGTAAAAATTAATCAATAAAGTATTAAAGTTGGTTAATAAACATTTAGACATTAAAAATAATTTTTAGTTGTAAAATAAAATTGATAAATGAAGAGTAATAAATTGGTTAATAAATTTATAAATTTTTTTAATAAAGATTCATATATTAAAAATAATTTTTAATATTTAAATAAAATTAGTTAATAAAATATTAAATATTAGTCAATTAAATTATGAAATTAATTAATCACATAATTTATTTAAATATTCTTTAATTAAAAATATATATATTTTAAAAAATGAAAATTTATCATTATAATATTTATTGTTCACATAAAATATGATATAGATGTGGCTTGTCGTATAAGAATATCATTTTTTATAACTAATACCTGGATTTTTAGGATTTGTTGTTGTTTTTGAAAATTTTTTTAATTGAATGATCAATAGGTATTTTCTTTGCAATACTTAGATCAGTCTTTATCACGCCTTTACTTGTAATCCACCTCATCTCCTTTTACTTGTAGAAAATGCGGTGATGAATAATAGAAGAGATGGTTGTGAGACTTTTTTCCTTTCTTCATTTACTTTAATTTTTTAACTTGTTAAAATTCAAGAAACTCATCGACTATAATTTTTTTTTTTAAGTGGCATACATCAATTATTTTCACTTCATATATTTTTTGTTTAAACTCTCACATCCCTACATGAATTTTTAAATAAAAACTTATAATTCATTCCTCATAAATAAATGTTTCATAATTTTTAAATTTAATTTGTAGTTCGGTAAGAAAATTAGATATAGACGCGTGAATATAAATCTGTGATATTTCATATGTTCATTTTTAAAAAATAAATTTCAGTCACTAAATTATTTGATAAAACAAATAATTAAATACAATCAGAGAAGGTGAATGAGAGTAAATATTAAAAAGTTTGGCCCTAATCCCTTTTTAAAATTGGATATCTCTAAACATTTCAAATTTTCATTCATATCTCAAGAGATGCATCTTCAGACGCATCCAAATTACACAAAAATGCATTATTCTGATATTCATCCCATTTTAATCATTGGTTCAGATATGCATATCTGTATATTATTTAGGTGTATTCGAAGATGCATCTTCGAAATGCCCACTAAAGTCTTTTAAAAGGGATTGAAATGTGTTGATGACAAGAGGGATTATTTTCAGAGATGCATATTCGGAAACCCCCTGAATGGCTTCAAAACAACATTATTGTCACAACATTATAATTTTTTGAGGCAAAGTTATATTAACGTAAAATCAAAGTAAAATAGTAGTAAAAACAAGTTTAATTAAAGGTAAATGAAAGTAAAAAGTCATACATTAATTAAAAAATACAATATTATACATGATATTTCTCTGATAATACAAAAAATAATACATCCAAACATAAATTACTGGGTATGTCGAACCTCGTGCCTTCTTCTCCAACAATCGTACTGCATGACATTTCATAACTCAACAACCATCTTTTCCATAAAGGTTAATTTGGGATCGCCATCCTCAAAGAGTCATGCCCATATGCTTGCTTTACCCATCTCCACAACATGCCGAAAAACTGTCGTCACGCTTTATCTATAGTTATCTTGAGCCTTAAGTGTAACAGCCCGAATTTCATTAAATAATTAATTATAGTAATTAATTGATTTAGTGGGATTTTTATTAATGTTGGAAATTAATTTTTATTAATTGGAATTAATAGAGAATTGAGAAGGAAATTGGAAGGAAGGAAAATAAAGAAAATATATAATAGAGAAGGAAAAGAAAAGAAAGTTGGAGAGAAACATTTGGAAAGAAAGAAGAAGAGAAAGAGGGAAGAAGAAGAGAAAGAGAGGAGAAGAAGAGGAAAGTGGAAAATCATCAAGAACCAATATCAAAGCTCCGATTAATCGAGGTAAGGGTGAGAAATGTTTCTATTTGATCATTGCATGATGTTATATATGTTGGGTTGGGGTTTTGGTGTAGTTTCCATCCTTTTTCATTTAGGGCAAATGTTGGAATAATCGGTAGAACTGTGATTTAATCGGTTGGAACTGAGTAATAATGACGTAGAATAGTCGGGTAACATGTATTGATGTTGTTTGAGTTGGTTTTGATGTTTGGGAGTTGGTTGGTGGTGGTTTGAGAAGGAGAAGACAGTACAAAATTCTGTTCTGCGCAGGTTCGCTGGCTCTCGCCAGGCGAGCTAAGGCGAAGCTTCGCCGGGCGAAGCCTAGCGCACGCTGGCGAATAATTATGATTAAGTCCCAGTGGACTTCGCTGGCGAGTTCGTCAGGCGAAGGTTGGTTAGCGAATGTTCGCCCAGCGAAAGTGCTGGCAAATGGTGGCGAACAAAGTCAGTAGCTATTGACTTTGGCTCGTTGGGGAGTCTCGCCAGGCGAAGGCCTAGCGAAGGTTCGCTGCGAGGGTTCGCCAGGCGAATATGGGCGAATTCGACAACATCTTTTCTTTGTTGTGGTTTCTATGTGTTGATGATTTAGTTGTTTCACATAGACTAATACCTCTACATTATGAGTATGTATGAGATCTATTGTGATGATGTGTGCTGTGGGTAGCCTACGGGCGTGAATCCTAGAATTGTGATTTGAATGTTAATTGCATCAAGTATAAATACATGTGAACATAATAGGTGATTATGTGTGTATTATTTAATGAACTTGTGAATGCTTGATGTGTATACAATTATGTGATGAGTATGCATGAGAACATTGTGAATATGTGTGCATAACATGTAATTGTATGATTGGTATTGTGATGTGAATACCTTGATTGTTGTGATATATGTTGTATGTGCAATCATTGTGTAATTCTTGAAGAGATGAATTATTAAATGCATGAGATTAAGATGCGAGAACGGTCTTAAGTGCATTGTTGTGGTTGATTGCATATGCATCATTTAGTCAAGAGGCAATGTTTGTTAGTTTCGTGGAAACTAGTGGCTTGTCCCAAACCTAGAAGAGTGAGTTTGAAGGCTTAGAGGACGGGTCTTTGTTGTTATCGGTCTAGAAGAGTGAACCCGGTTTAATGTAAAAACCGAAAAATGATAATGGGTTATCGGTCTAGAAGAGTGGACCCAGTTTAATGTAAAAATCGAAAAATGATAACGAGAGTCGGTACCGCATTGCATGAGTTGCATTGAGTTGTTGAGTCACATTGATATATGACATATGCATGAAGAGATGCTTATGTGTGAATGATAAGATTGTGGAAATGTGAGTGTATGCATGATGTGGGAATGCTTTGTGAATATTCATGTTGTCTATATATGTGTGGTAAATATATATGACTAAGAGGGTGAATTGTGTTGAGAAATATGGAGTTGAATTATATGATTACCTATATATATATATATATATATATATATATATATATATATATATATATATATATATATATATATATATATATATATATATATATATATATATATATAATCTTATGCTTTGATTATTATGGTTATATTTCTCACTCTTCTGCTGTTTTATAATGCTCTACGAGGCATTGCAGATTAGGATGCTGGAGTCTTTCTTTTGTGAAGTATAGTTTCATTCTTTTGAGTCGGACTGCTCTGATTATGTAACACCGGGTAGTTAGGCTGGTATAGTATTCTTTTGTGATACATTGCGATGTATCAGCTGATGTGGCTTTGTAATTACCTGACATGATGTATTAATCTGGATATCTTATGTGTATGTGAATTAATATTTTGGAAATGATTAAATGATTTTATCTTCCGCTTAAATTTTAATGTTGAAATGTGATTTCTAAAACTATGAAAATGTTACATATTTTATGGAGCAAATGTTAAAGTGTTTCATTGGTGAAATTGTGACATTCTTCCTTTATACCTTATTCTAAAATTTTCACTCTGATAAATTTGTATATGCATTTATTTGGGGGTATATAAGGGGGTGTTACATTAAGTACCTCATGGTTAGCTGGCCTAGGTGGTCTTCTAGAAGCAACTGGTGTCATGATAGGGTGTGACACCCTATAGAACCAGGTCATGTAGTTGTCTCCATAGGCCTATTGTATAGGAGCTAGTACCCTGTAATACTCATCTGGTACTAGGTGACTCTCAAAATCGTCAACTATCGTGTCGAGATCTATGCAGAAGACAGTGGTGGAACGAACTCTAAGGAAGTCTTGGAATAATCTATAAATAGCCAAAGTCGATGAAATATTGAAGATAGACTACATCAATATAGGTTGCACATTTGTCCACAAATATGAATGTGCCAACTAAGAACAAGAGGAAACACCTCAGTGCGCAAGTCCGGTGGTACCAAACCTGCATGTCATCGCCTTCGACGTCCACAACCTTCTGCTCATGGTCTTTATAAAGTTTTTCCAAAAAAAACTAAACCTGGCATGAACACCTCTTGTGTCATGTGTCTCATGTGAGGCCTAACTTAGGTCAGCCCCTAAATGGGTGGTCATCATGTTAACACCTTCCTTTCGACCGATCTTGTTGTTACCTAGTAATTTTCTCCTTATGAGAAAATACAGGAGACAGGAGGCATGAGAAATCATCAAAGGTAATAGTCATCTTGCATATAGAATGGTGGAAAGACAAAGTCTCTGAATGTCTTCTCTTAGCAAAAACCGCCTGCATACCGTGGGATATGGTCATGTACGCAGTAGAAAATAAACCAACAAGATCGTAATAATGAAGAACATCATGAAACCAATTAGCAGTGAGCCACCATAACTCCAATATTTTCCGCCTATGGTTTACCGATTTCAAACATGGAGGCTCATGTAAAAATAAAATATTACCATCGTTGTTGATTTAATTAGTTGAAAACATACGTATTGTAAAATAAATATACATCTCCTTCCCATATATGTCTAATAACATAATTTGCATAGAGATGAAATAAGGATGTATCAAATGGACTTCCTGGATAACTCTCTAATGGGCCAACAGCTTCCTCCTGGCCTTCAGGGGTTTCAAAGGCTTCAGGGTCTACTACATCATATGGGGACTCGTGGCCTCGTGAAGTGGATGCTTGAGAGAGGTGACTATAAGAAGTAGAACTTAAGCGTTGCAAACTTGATGGTTACAAATCATTAAACGAGTTATCATTAACTCGTGCTCTCGTCATCCTATTTGCGACTCTCTCACATCGTATCGACGCGATTTGGACACACGTCCCAGCCTAAATCTGCCAGGTTTGTTTTCGACATTGTTATTAGTCATTGCACTTGCGTTACACACTGACACACATATAAAGAGCATGTTAGTACAAATCCACAAAATCTACCAAATTTTAGTCCGAGTCCAATGCGGAGATGCATCTCTAGACAAAAATGTGATTCTCGACCATGGAAGAAATGATTCTCAACCATGGAAGAAATGTCATTGCTGCCTTAACCCTCTAAAAACCAGTAAATACATGTTCTTGTAGACTATCAATTTCATTTGCACTACTATCTAATGTATCTAAAATAATTAATGTAACTTAAACAACTTACTACAAATCAAAACATAAAAAAGAGTTTTTTTTTTGTTGAAAAACTTACAAATTTAGATTGACGAGAAAGAGAAGGAAAATGTTGAATCCATGAGATGATGGAAAGAAAGAGAAAGAGTTATAATGATAAAAGCTTGAATGAATGGATGATATGCTTAAATGTATAAAAGTTGAAATGTTTTGTTTTAAAAAGTGTTTAGAAAAATAAAGGAGGAAGATGAAAGTTCTCGCACAAACATATGAAACAAAATAAGATACATTTCCGAAGCATTCAATAATTTTTGAATATATAGTATATATGAAGATGCATTTTAGAAATATAAAGAAATACATCTTTAAATTAAAATTTTTGCATAATAAAAACATCCCATCAATTTCATCCAAAAAAATAAATGAATTAAAATAGATGCATCCGAACATATTTTCCGGAGGCCGGAGACATTTGTAAAATTTCATGGTGGTAGAGAAGTGACGGCGGAAAGAGCAAATCCCATTTCCCATTCCGAATTCCAATCTTCCTGAAACCTCTTGTTCGTCCCGCGCAGTGTCATCCCCTACTTACCAGTCCCCACTCACTGTCACCGTCACCGTCACAGTGAGTCCTCGTTCTCTCTCACACTCTCCTCGCTCATTCTTTCACTATACTTAATTTCTTTGCTTCAGTTTGTTCTCTCGTTAGCTTTATATATTTACATATGCAACAATTTCACTACACGGTACGCTACTCAAGTTCATTATGTTAGTTAGTTAAAATTCGATTTAGATCATTATCCAATCAATTCATTCATAGTTTTCATATTCTCAACTAATTCCATTTCGATCTGTTGTGCATCATCGACCTGGTTTGGTATCCCATGGGCTCCTACTATTTGATGTGAATCTGAAATTGTGTCTGTGGTATGATATGTTCTTGGTTCTGCTATGTGAATTTGCTTTTGTTGGTGTTTTTTCCCTTTCCCTGATTGTACTTTTTCCTATTTCCATTTCTTTTTCAACAGTTTATATTATCAATAATCATATTTCATTATGCTTATTTTCCTCAAGTAAGAGACAAATTGATGAATTTTATGTTTTTCATACTTGTAGGATAATGGATTTCATACATGTACCTCACAACTTGTATCAGATTATTCTTATGGTAAGTTTTCAATTTATAGTCTCCTGAATTCACCGATTAGGTTTCCGAGTTTTTCTTGCAAGAAATTCGAAATCCTGTGATGTTTCTAACGAATTCAAATCGATGGAGTCACAGATTGTATTATATTTATTTTTAGCAATATGAAAAGTATGTAACTGAGTTTGCAGAGAGTATGTAGCTTTGTTTTAATTTATCGTTTTCTCAATTTCAATGTATAATGTTGTTACTTTATATTTCGCCATTGACATTAACATGAATGTTTAGGACGATATGGCATTATGCAACACAACATAATTTCCCATTTAACCTAAATTTTTTGTTGTTCATTCAATGTGGATTTTAAGGACTTGGCCCTGTTTGGATTAGTTTCTAGGTCATAGGGGAGCTTCTCATTTAATTTAAATATAGAATAAATTTAAATTAAATTTACAGGTTTTAATATAACCAAAAAGTTCTAATAAGCTTATAGATGTACATAGAGAAGTGAAATGATAGAGCTTCTGAAAAATTGAAATGCAAGAGCTAGTTTCAACTTATAACAAAATCTCTTGTTTATAAAACTATAGTTATTGGAAGAATTTTTTTAATATTTCATTTGTCTTGAGTGCTTCTTCAAAATTTTATCCACACATACTTTTGTACAGATTGTAAATCTTGGGCTTCAACTACTATGGTACTTTCTGCAAATCATTATCAGCACATGGTATTACATATCAGCCGTGGTTAATTTGTTTGAAAGCTATTTCATCTCTTATGGAGTATTGAAAAAATACAAGTCTCTTCGTATAGGAAAGCTTCGGTACCTTGCCATTGTCATAGAGAGTGAAGATGCTTATCAAACTTCAAAGGTTGTTAAACTTTTGCAGTGGCTGGACTCAATTGGTGTTAAAAATATATGCCTCTATGACATGAATGGTATGAAAGGTTTGAATAATCATTGATAGTAAGCTCTCATTAACTTGGGATGTGTGATAAGGTTTTCTTTGACCTCTACATTCTAGGAGTGTTGAAAAAGTCAAAGGTGGCCATATTTCAAGAAATGAAGAATGCAAAATCCATAGAGGTAACATATTGTTCTTTTTTTTTGCTCCCAGCAGATTGCTTCTTTCTTAATATATTGACAAATTTTTGTACTAGTTTATGATATTATTATTAAGGCTCTATTGAGTAGTTAGTGCATCTCATATGTTTTCCATATTGTTCACATAGTTTGGGTAAATCCAACCTTCACCTCATTTCATTTTGGCCGATTCTTTTTTCCTGCACATGTATGATGTATCTAAACAATCCTTTTTTTATACAACAGGAAATGACATGTCCCATATCAAGTTAATTGGTTTCACAACTGAAATTTGTTGAATACATTTTGTACCATTTTCAGTTGCCATTTTGTCTTGAAAAGTTAGTAACTAATGGAACCTGCCTATAGTATTTCTGGATATGAGATCTAAGAAATTATTGACGCGTAGATGAAATACATGTTTCTGTTAGGCATGGGTAAGATATCAGAAATGGGAGGAGAGAAAAGCAAGGAAAGAAAATGAGGCTAGAAAATTATTTTTAGTTTTAGGCATATTGGATGGAAGGTTAAAAACAGGAGTGACAGAAATAGGCATGAAAAAGTACCTTTGAATCCACAAGAAAAGTTCTCTCTAAGGTGAGGAGAAAAGGGAGAGAGCATACTCTGTAGCACAGAAGACCCATTTTTTCTTCTTTTTCATCTCCTAATCATAAGAAATTGATCTGAACACATACTAATAACTAAGAGAGGAAAGAAAGAGAGACCTTATCTTCTTCATCCTTTTAATCCTCTAAGCACGTGTTTAGTATAGTGTTAGTTCATCGCCAATGTGCGGCCAAGTGCCATATACCCATGAAAATTCAGAATCTAGAAACTAGGCTTTGATGTAAACACACGTTCAGTATTTACAGTAACTTTATCATCACCAAAGCAAACATAGCCTATAGGCTAAACCCGTGGAGGGAGAAATACCATTATTCCCTTTTGCTTTGTTTCTATTTTCTCTATGCAACCATGTGATTCATTAATATAAAATATGTATTTAATGACTCATTCAGTTGTAACTTCAACTGTTTTTTCATTCATTTGATCTGATCTAGCTTAAATTCGGTGCAGGAAGTTAATGAAGCTGTGACACACCATGTATCAGATCACATGACCCTAGAATTTGTTTCTTATGTTGATGGGAAGGAAGCAGTGGCCAAAGCAGCTAACTTGATTTTTGTTGAGAATTTGAAACGACATAATTTTGGTGGAGAACTGGATTGCCAGATACCGTTAGAGTCTCACCTGAATCAGGCGCTGCAAATTGTTGGTATGTTTGCATCCTCAAGCTGCTATTAGTTTAAACTTTAGAATGTTTATTTCCTTTTGCAGTATAACATTATCTGGCTAACAATGATCTTATTTTTCTGTCAGGTTGCAAAGGCCCTGAACCTGACCTTTTACTGGTTTATGGCCCTGTTAGGAGCCATCTTGGTTTTCCTGCATGGAGAATTCGGTATACAGAGATAGTGTAAGTTGTTTCTAGGATATTATTATTTTTTATTGTTTTTGCCGTCATTGTTATTGCCATTGGGAGAGTAAAAAGTTAGCTTGTTTGTTCTCAATAAAGTGCAATGATGGTTGTGCATAGAAGCTAAAAGAAGCATCAACTATTACATGAGTGTTTTGTTCTGTGTTAGAAGTCCATGCAAATGAAAAGCTTGTAATCATTGAATGATTAGTGAATATAAATGGATCAATTTAGTTTCTCTCCCTTTTTGTTATATATTTTTTTCTTGCGTAGTAAAGTGTAAACCTGTAGCAAAGTTACTACTACCCAGCAACACAGCAAACCGTAAAAATGAACCTCCATGCGTTACATAGGCTGCATGCGATATAGTGTGTGAAGTTGCATTTTGTACCTAGCTTTGTTTTTCGTTTTTAGTTGAATAGGTTCCGACTAATGTTTCTTGCAGGCATATGGGATCACTGAACTTCATGAGACACGGTTCCTTAATTAAAGCCATTTACAACTTCATAAAAGTGCATCAAAATTATGGTAAGTTTTCTCAGTATCTACCATGGTTTGACCCCCAATAATTGCTACATTTGTTAGAGTAATTTTAATTATTATTTGCATCTTTCTTGCATCTCCATATTCATTTGTTATATCTTTTACCAGACTATCCAAAAACTAGCTCACAGTCTTCAAGTGGAAATAACACAAACCTATAGTCCTATACGATAACAGACCACTCCTTAGTTCTTTCCATTATATATATGATGTTACCATTAAACTAAAGTCAGAGTTAGTATAAAGTATGCTGTATTCTATTTTTATCACAATTTTATATTTTTTTTGGGATTGCTAACAGGTACATAGAAAAGGAAATGAATCACAAGAAAATTAACTGTGCAAGTCCAAAGAATAATAACCTAGCTAAACATTTTGGTGGAAGGGTTTCTCGCTGGTAATGTGTAAATTGTAAACTTCATTTTTTTTAAACGTGTATTATAAAGTTTGAGTGCACTTAAGAAAAAAGAGTACCACACGCTTAAGTACAACTTTTACACACTTCATATTTATTTTACAATGGTTTTAGAAAACGTAACTTGTAAATATATAATTTACTGTACATTATTTTACTGCATATAATTTTAGAATTATTTATTGTAAAATTTGAAGATTACGATATAAAAATGGAAAGGTAGGCGTGTAAGCAAAAAGGACACAAAAATGGTACTCTTGGTTAAAACAGCGAAATGTGTGACAATGAGAAAAAAATCACAAGCAAGTATATAACAATAATGAAGTAGTATAAAAGATTTATCATTTCCACGAAATTTGATTTTTCAAGTATTGAATTATATCACTTCTATGTTTAACTAAAGCGATCCGATTTTGAGTTTGGAAAAATGATTTTGAACGAATAATAATTTGAAAAAATGATTTTATAATATTTTGCTTAAAACAGGACTTGCGGTATTTGATTTCTATTAGTAGTCTCAACATCGATTTGAGAAACAAGCAAATTATAAAAAATAGAGTAATTGGAAAACACTTATTTTCGTTAGTGTGATGTCCCGTCTTAAACAAATAATCTATTGGCGTAACTTATATATGTTTAAGATCAATTTTTCGCGTAGTTATTATAGTGGTGTCTTCTCAATTGAGTTTTGAGACACCTTTGTTGCTTTAAATTTGGTTTGAAATTCACATTTGGATATCAATTCACACCGCTTTAGTGTATGAAATGATATCTAAATTATTTCTACTTTCATGAAAACATACAAGTCAAAACTCGAATTCTAAAATAAAATTAGATTTGCTTCTTATATTGATATTATAAAGATTTTACATGAAACTTGTCATATGATAGTCCTCATGACCCTTAATCCTCAGAAAACTACTTTAATATGATGGCCGTTCAAATAGCATAAACACAAGCATACAAAATATACATACTGATAATATTAAAAAAATAAAACCTATAATAAGTAGAAAATGACTTGAATAAGACATCACTCTAATGGAGTCTTTGATCCAATACATCAACAACAAGAAAAAAGAAAGCAAATGTGTAGGAAGATATGTAAGATTTTAGGTCGAACTCAAACTTTGTCGAGGAATAGCTTTCATGTATTTCGGCAAGAGGCAAGCAGGAAGTCGAAGATGGGTCGCATGCTGTGGTCGAAGGATACATATTACAGTCGAAGTCTGTTCTAATATGTATTGTTGAAATGTTTGTCGAATTGGATCTTTTGTTATGGATTCAATTGTTTAGTTAGCTTGGGTTGCAAGTTATTTAGTTAGTCTATATATAGGCTATATCACTCAGGTTGTTGAGTGAGGCCAATTGTGATATTCATTTGTAATCACTTGTAAACCCTTATGAGAAAGTGAATAGCAAACAATTTGCCTTAATCCTTGTAAACACTATTTTTTTATGCTTGTATTAAGAACAAGTCCAAAAAGAATACAACTTTAGCTCTTAAGGTTGGTGATGCTCGAGTGGAAGGGGTGTCAGAGATTCGTTACGAGGTGGTTAATTACTTTTCTAATCATTTAAAAGAACCTCTTTTTGACCGACCTATGTTTGATGGAGTTTTTTCCCCCATCTATCTCAAAAAAAGATTGTGTTATACTCCCCATTTTATTTTTTTGAGATTGATCAGACTGTTACTTTGTGGGGCGGGAATCAGAGTTCTGGCCTTAATGGGTTCAATTTCTCATTTTTAAGAAGTTCTGGACCCTTTTTAGGAATGAGATTGGGATTGTGTTTGAGCAATTTCATCATTTTGCTTCTCTTTCTCATGATTTTTATTTTTCTTTGTGACTTTGATCCCTAAGGTCGACTCTCTCTCTCTCTCTCTCTCTCTCTCTCTCTCTCTCTCTCTCTCTCTCTCTCTCTCTCTCTCTCTCTCTCTCTCTCATATAGGAGATTTTGACCTATTTATTTGTTGGGGTTGCTTTATAAGCTCGTCGCTAAAGTTTTGGTAGAGAGACTTTGTGGTGTTATAGATAAACTTATCTCTTTTAACGAATCTGCCCTACTTTAGGGTAGGTTGTTGGTTGACGGGGTTGTTGCTGCAAATGAGTTGGTGGATCTAGTTAAGAATAGTAAAAAATCTTATTTCATTTTTAAAGTAGATTTTGAGAAAGCATATGAATTGGTTAGTTGGTCCTTTCTAAATTATACGCTCTCTTGATTTGGCTTTAATGATAAGTGGGGAAGTTGGATTTGTGCTTGTATTTTCTCTTGTAATCTTGTGGTCTTGGTTAATGGTTGTCCAATCTAAAAAATTAGCATACAAAGGGGGTTTAAGCAAGGTGATTACCTAGTTTATTTCCTTTTACTCTTGGTAGTTGAAGTTTTTAATTGGTTGTTCTCTAAGGCCATGGAACATCATCTTTTCACTGATTCCCAAGTGGGCTCCTCAGATTTGGCGGTCTTACGTATTTAGTATGCGAAGGATACAATTATTATGACATACGCCTTCTACAAGAACCTTTGGTCCATAAAGGCTATCTTCTGTGTGCTTGAGCTAGCCTCAAGACTTCGGGTGAATTTTTCCAAGAGTAGTCTCATTTGGGTGAATTTTGATCCTACTTTCATTGACCTAGATTATGATTTCCTTTAGTGACAAGTGGGGTCTCTCCCTTTTATGCATCTCCTTCTCCCAATGGGGGTGAATCCTCATCTATCTTCTATGTGGGAACTCTTAGTCAGCCTCATCTCTAGGCAACTTCACTCGTAAAGGCATTGGTATGTATTCTTAGGAGGACGCATGATTCTTATTAATTATATTCTTAGTGGAGTTTCTATCTTCTTTTTGTCTTTTTTTAAAGACGCCTGTTAATATTTGGAAAAAGATTGTGAAAATTCAAAGGAGGTTTATGTGGGATGGTTTTAGAAGGGAGTGTCTAAGATTGCTTGAGTTAGGTGGTTTGTTGTTTGTAAGCTCTAGAAATTTGGGATCCTTGGTCTCTGCAGCCTTCAGTTAGTTAACTTGGCTCTGTTGGATACATGGATGTGGCGATTGCTCTCAGGGGAGTCATGGGTCTGGAGAGATATTTTGTATGCTAGATATGGTGTATTTTGACTTCTTCTATTTTAGGAGGTAGAGTTGTCTACCTTCATTCCGTGTCTCCTTGGTGGAGAAAAATGTCCCTTCTTGGTGCTAAAAGGGATAACCCTTTAGACTAGTTTTGAGATGACATCGTTAAGAAAGTCGGTCTGGTCTTCTCACTAAGTTTTGGGAAGACCCTCGCGTTGGGGAAATTCCTCTTAGAACTAAGTTCCCTCAACTTTTTTTCTATCTTTAAACATAATGATTGTTTTGTGGGTCATATTGGCAAGTGGGAAGGGTGGGCTTGGGTTTGAGATCTTAGGTGAAGAATATCTCATATTTTTTAGCATGAGTAGGTTTTGATAACTAATATCCTCTATGTAGTTAGGAACTTTATCTCCTCCTCCATGCCCGATAAGTGGTGGTGGAGTCATTCTAAAGATGGTTCTTATCTCGTGGCTACCACATACTTTTTTCTTCTCTCTAGTGAGTTTCCTCATGATCATCAGGTCTCGTTAGTGGAGTCAGTCCTCTCTAGTATCTGGAGTAGTTGGGCCCCTTCTAAAGTAGTTGTTTTCTCAGGGCAACTCCTGCAGGATAGGATTCTTACCTAAGAGAATTTACTTAAGAGTGGATCGTCATTGGTTCAGAGGGTGCCTCTTGCCTTTTGTGTTCAAGGTTTCTATAGTCACCCTTTCACTTATTTGTGACTTGTGATGTATAGGTTTTTGTCTAGTATATGATTTTAAGTTGGTTGGGTTAGTCTGTAGGACATGGAGTGTCTTATGATTTGACTTGTCGTGGCCTGGATAATATGGAAATTTCTGAATGATATAGTCTTCTCAGGTAAAGTGGTGTCAACAAAGGAAGTGAAAAATATGATAATTATTTTGGCTTGGAAATTGTATCTTATTAAGTCTAGGGGGAAGTCCTGTGTTTTTTCGGTCTGACTTGAGAACTCTAACTGACATACGAGTTAATAGCAACATGAGTGTATTCAACCTTCTTTGGGTGTGTTCTTGTTGCTCAACGGAGATTGGTGTCGCCGTTTTCTCAAGTATATGCTTGGGGAGATCTAGCATGTTTCTCTTTTGGTGTTCTTGATATTTGGTTTCCTACGATTTTTCTCTCCTATATTGATTTTTTCATTTTTGGATTGACTTTGTTTTGTGTTTTTCTAATTTGATTGTTGGTTTATTTTTCTATTTTGCTAGTTGTTTCGGTACTTTTTTGTCATTTTTCTACTTCTTATTTTGTGTCACTGATCAACTTATTTTAAAAGTTTTTTTTTTACCTTAGTATAAATTATAGTCTTTAACTTATATTTAATCAGATGATTAATTATACAAAAATATCAATTACAATTAAATAAAAATATTAATAACTAAATTAAATTAAATTTAAAAATTATGATCAATCTTTACTTTGTAGTCATCCTTAATATAACTAATGCATTCATAATTGATCTTATGGGAGCAATGAATGGAACTGAAATTGTTTCAACCAAAGCAAGGCATAATCTCCTGCTTAAAACAAACTTCAAATTCATTACGTTGGCATGCAAGTCTCTATTTCTTATCCTTTAAAATTTTGACAACGGTCGACATTCAACCTCTAACATATTTTTTATTATCAACCATATTTATAAAGAAGTCAATTATTATACAGATAAATTATCCAATTTAAAAATACCCATCTTTAATTTCACTTAGTGGAATAATATTCCATATATTATTTATGAAGATTTTGAGCATAATAAACATCTACATATCTTTGGAACTCTCTAATTACAAAGTTGGCAGACTATTTTAT